TCATTACTTTTTTCAACAAATCTTTCTTGACCTCTTACTGTGGATGGGGCAGGCTCTGTATTAGGCCCTGGATTCACTGGCAAACCAAACAAAGACTCTGCTATGGTGCCCTCTACTTTCTGTTTTGGGAGACAGACAATAAATACATGTCTGGTGGAGCAAGGTAAGAGGGTAGGGATGATGAACTGCAGAGGGAACAGGGCTTCCTTTGAGGAAATGACAGTACTGAGGCCCAAACAAAGAGATTAAGCTATGTGGATTTATGAGTGGATTTATAGATTGCTGTGTAATTATCCCACAATTCACAGCGTGAAACATGTATTATCTCACAGTTTCTCAGGATGAGGAATCTGGGTGTGGCTTAGCGGGATGTTTCTGCTTAGGGTTTCTCCCTAAGAGCTTGTAGTCAAGTCGTCATCAGAGACTGCAGTTATCACTTGAGACTGAAGAATTTGCTTTCTAGCCCACTCATGCGGTTCTTGGCAGACCTCAGGTCACTGAGGGCTGTTGGACTGAGGGCCTGGGTTCTTTGTCTGCTGGCAGCTTGCCTTCCCCAGGGCAAGTGATGCGAGAGAATGCCTCACATTCTTTTATGAACTAATCTCAGATGTGACATACCCTCATTTTCTGTCGTCTGGACCATAAACTGCCTCTTCTTACTGACCTGTCTTCCCCACTGCCTAAGTGTATTTGCCTGGTCCAGCATTGCCTTTCTCTATCTCACTTCCTTTTTTCGTTCAAGATTTTTAAAAGAACAGTTGATATTTGCTTTCTTAACTTTATTGCCACTTGTCCTCTTTTCCCTCCTGCCAGTTAGCTCCCATTCTTCACCGCGCTGCTAACTCTTCTCTGCCAAGGTGACCCAGTGGTGATGCAGACCAGTCAGTTCTCGTTACATTAGTGCATTTCTGTTGTGGCACTTGGTATTCTCTTTCAAGATTCTCTCTCCTCTTAATTGTTAATACATCGTGTTTTTCCTTCTGGTGTTCTGACACCACTGGCCTCCCCTGGATCCACTGGTTCTGTCAACCACTTAAACGGAGGCAAACCCTTCAAACTCTGAGAGTTTTGTTCTTTTTTTATCCTCACCGAGGACATTTTTGTCATTTTTTGTTCAGATAGAGTGGGAGGGAGAGAGAGGAAGAGCAAGAGAGAAACATCGATGTGAAAGGGACACATCGAGTGGCTGCCTCCCACACACGCTACCCAACCAGGGCCGGGGACAAACTCAAACAGAGGTATGTGCCCTTAGCGGGAACCGAACCTGGGTCTCTCTGGACTGCAGGCTGATGCTCTAACCGCTGAGCCAAACCGGCCAGGGCGAGAGTTTTGTTTTTGTCTCTTTTTACTTATACTGTATTTTGTCTTCAAAGCCGACTTCTACCAAAACTGAATTATCTATGACCCACCATTTACAAATATCAAACACACACATACACACAAATACGTTGTTCTACCTGTGTTATTTAATTCTTTACTTTTGGTTAGTGGAATCCAGGTACCCTAGTTAAAAAAAAAAAAAAAAGTGAATCATAACATTGTCTCCTGCCTTATTTCTCACGCTGTAAACCACCAAACTCTGTTAATTCTCTCCCCTTGCTCTTTTGCTAGCCCGTGACTTTACTCTAGATTAGGTCCTTACTGTTTATTACCTCATCTACTGTACTCCTCTGGTAACTGATATCCCAATCTCTGCTCTGGCCAAGTGTCCTCTGCTTTAGATGCTACTGCCAATTATTTGTCTAATTTATGTGTCTCAACATTTCAGTACCTGGTCGCCCACATCACTGACTCCCAGTCACTAGGGTGAGCTCCGAGTCCTTATTGGCACACACTGCATTTTGCCCTCTGGTCTCTGTGGGCCTGCTTGGACCAACTTTTGCTGCCTTCACCCTTACATTTAAGGGTTGTGCAATATGGAAATTTATATTTCCCTTAAAAGGTCATGCTGTGGAATGTCTCTGTGCTTTTTAATCCTGTTCTTTTATTTTCCTGAAATGCATTTTATTCCCTCTTACCCCTCACTCCACTCATAGATCAAATCAAATTGCGGGTCACTTGTCTCTACACTGTGCACCTCCCTCCCTTCCCCATCAGAGTTAATCACTTTTTTCCTTATCTTTTCTTCCCTTTGCATAGGTTCTGTTATGCTCTTACCTGATCGCATTTTATTGTTTACTCTGTCTTTCTTAGTGAGCATGAGCCTTTTAAGGACAGGGTCTTAGGTTCATTTATCTTAGGGTCCCCAACACTTAGCAAAATGCTTCACACATTGTGAACACTTAGTAAATGTCAATTAAATAATGTAATCAGACTGAGATAGTATGGTTTTAGGTATGGCTTTTGTAGAGGAAATTAAGAACCCAAATAATTAGGTTCATTGGTATCTTTGCTCGAATATGTGGTTTGATTACTTGGTGGAATTTAGCACTGACTGTTTTAGCCAAAAGAAGTTGGATATAACAAAATGCTTGCCAACTCAGAATATTAAATATCAAGTAATTAAAAGATTTTCTGTAGCCAGTCTTAAGGTATTTATATTGCGCTTTAAAAGTATCTTGCTGTTCTATATTTATACACAATTACAACTTTTAAACAGTTGTTTTTTACAACTTCAAATATTTTCCCATAGAAATAATATTACATTTAGTGTTTCAGTATTTCTGTATCGGGCACTGTGGAGCCAGAAGCCACACAATAATTGAACAGGAAGAATTTAATATAAACAATGAGGGATTGGCTACAATGGCTAAGGAAAACGAAAGGATACAGGAGGAGCAGATATAGGGAGCACAGTGTCCAAGGAAGGAACAATCTGGAAGCAGGTCCCACTCCTCCATCTCTAAGGCTGGAATCTGGACTTCATCAGAGAAGATGTGGTTGCATCTTACTGGCTAGCAGAGAAGTTCATGGAAGTGAACTTCATGGAAATCTGCCTTCTGGGTGCTAGAGGGAAATCATCCACAGGGAGGTGCTGGCCTGCAGAACTCACTGGGGATCTGCCAGTAGGGGTAGTGCAGCATGAAGCCACCACCACAGGTCTGCAGAGAAGCTGCCCATGGATTGATTCCATGCCATGTGCCTCCAAATAAGAAGAGAACCAGATAGAAGAATCCTTCTTCCCCGCCTTGGTAGCTCAATTGGCTAGTGTTGTCCAGATATACCAAGGTTGAGAGTTTGATCTCAGGTCAAGGCACATACAAGAAACAATCAATGAATGCATGAATAAGTGGAACAACAAATCGATGTTTCTCTCTGTGTTTGTCTCTTTCTCTCTCATCCCCCTCCTCTCTCAAATCAATCAATTAATAAAAAATTTTAAAGAAAGAATTCCTTTTCCTTCAGTGTCCCTTCAACACCCTCTGGAATTGTCCTAGCTGCCATAAACAGGGCAATGGGAAGGTAGTGCTGAAAAGAAATTGATTGACAGCTGGCACAGTTCACTCTCGTTAACTACTTGAGCTTTCATATGTTCCTAATTAAGATATAGCTATCACAGAAATTAGGAAAAATATCTGTCCTTTATCTTGAATTCTAGTGCCCAGGGAGAATAGTAAAAGTAGATGAAGATGACAAAGGAGATGGACACCTTGTGTGTTCTGAAGTAGTTAATGGCATTCTTAGACAAATTATGTTGTTAAATATCTTAATTTCATGTGCCTTAATCTGGATATATTAAAAGTACTCTTCTTCGTCACTTAAGAATTAATTAGTTTTGGCTTAGAAAATAAGATAGCGTATTTCCTATGGTAAGTAACTGAGCCACAGCTTGTAAAGAGAGAGAGAGGAAGCATTGCATGTATGTTATACATGTTTCCCTGGTTCAGTACATTAGTCAGTCATCCAAAATATTTGAGAATCGGAAATACTCTGCTGAGCAAAGACAGGAAACAAGAACATTTTGTGTGAAAGGGGATATATAAAGTGGTGGAGTAAAGGTTTGGGGTCAGGGAGGATGCAGACAACATGTTGGTAGCATGCTCCAGAGTCCTAGTCCCTCTATATTATGAGTCAGTTGTTAGGGTAAAAGTTGACATGAATTTTTGTTCCATAAGTTTAATAACAGATATAACATATGGAGGCTACATTAAATAGTCCTGTGGACTCTTCTGGAAGAAGTTTTTTGTCATTATAGGAAGAAAAAAGCAGAAATAAAAGCATTCATATGTGACCTATAAAGGATGCTTAAGAATATTGATGATAGAACAGATGTTTAATGAATCATGACCAATATTTGTTTATATTTGGCTCTTTAACTTAGAAGAACAGGAGAGATTTAATGCTGTCTGGTGTCTCTTACACAATATGACCTTATTACTTTTTACCCATCTCTTCCTATCTCTTTCACAAGCAACTATATTTGTAGTTATCAATGTTTGTATTTTACATTTACTTGGTATTAGTGCACAACTAGAAGTTTTTTAGAGATTTTGCTTTTCTGTTACCTGTTCTTTCTGGCCATGAGAAATGTGTGAGGAGTTGGAGGATGGATGAAAACAGGGATAGGGATGGATGTACTCTCACCCCTGGGTGTGAAGCAGTCATGACTGACAGTTATACATGATGAGTACTGACTTGGACACTGAACTTAACTCATGCTTGGCCTTCAAATCCTCACTTAAATAATAGGGGACCTTATCCCTGAAGAAGAACTAGCCAGAACCCCCAAGTACAGATAGAGAATTATGGTTCATATCTCCAATTACTTTCGTAATCAACTCTTAAAGGATTCAGTTGGTAAAGACGCCTTCAGCTGGGATGGTGTAGGTCAAGGGATTATCTTACAGTTTCCTCAATACTCGTTATTGTCTCTCCTAAATATTTCATCATTTTAGAGAGAAAATTTGGGCCTCCATTATGTTATTAGTTACCATGTATTATAAAACATTTGAATCACCATAGAATGTTTGGTGTTATAACTCTGGCTAGATTGCTAAAAGCAAGAGGTGTTAGTCTCCCTGCTTAGTTATAAATGAGTTTTTGTTCATTTATTCCTCCAGGTTTTTCTGAAGAGTGATCGAGTGGCCAGAATGGTTCAGAGTGGAGGATGTTCTGCTAATGACTTCAGGGAGGTGTTTAAGAAGAACATCGAAAAACGTGTGCGGAGTTTGCCAGAAATTGATGGCTTAAGCAAAGAGACAGTGCTGAGCTCATGGATTGCCAAATATGATGCCATTTACAGGGGTGAAGAAGATTTGTGCAAACAGCCAAATAGAATGACCCTGAGTGCTGTATCTGAACTTATTCTGAGCAAGGAACAGCTTTATGAAATGTTTCAGCAGATTCTGGGTATTAAAAAACTAGAACACCAACTCCTTTATAATGCATGTCAGGTAAGTGGTCCATTGTATTTCCCATTCTCCTGCCTGACTCAGAATGAACCTCGTGTTTATAAACCTATGGAGATGTGCTTGACTCTCTAGAATCACTTGGCTTGAAAAGTTGAGTTGAAATTGAATTTCAGTAATTCAAATAGTGATATTTTAAAGAAGCTTTGAAAGAATTATTTGATAGATGGAGAAGAATATCAGTACATTTATGTGGTAAATAATTGTTCCCATATGCCCCACTTTAGGACGTCAGATTTGTGCCTGTTGGGTATACATGGGGCATGTCTAAATAATAAAATGGAAATGATCTTTATCTGAGAAGCTTGGCAATTTATGATAAAGTTATTTCTCAGTGCAAAATCATTTTACATAAAGATATGATGCAGCCCTGGCTGTTTTGGCTCAGCAGTAAGAGTGTCAGCCTGTGGACCAGAGAGGCCCGGGTTCGGTTCCCAATAAGGGCACGAACCTCAGTTGCAGTTTGTTCCTGGCCCCAGTTGGGGGTCTTGTGGGTGGCAACCACTCGATGTGTCTCTCTCACATCAATGTTTCTCTCTCTCTCTTCCTCTTTCTCTCCCTCCTGCTCTATCTCAAGATAAATGCAAAAATGTCCTTGGGTGAGGATTAAAAATTATATATGTATGATGCTGTTCTTCTGAATTTTATGGAAGTAACTGAAATTTCAGATTGTTTCTTTAAACTAGCCAGATAGAAATTAATTGAAGATGAATACTAAACTGCTTAATTTAAAGAGATGACAGTAAATAATATATTTTCTTTTCTATTCTTACTAAAATCATGGAAAAGCAGAATAAAATACCATGTTTGTTCCACATCTTTCATCTTTAGACATTATGATTTGTCTAATAATGTATTTCTTACATATTTGCATTTTGTTTGCTTATTTTAGAGGTATAAAGTATTTAACTGTGCCCTAATATACAATTTAAATTGACAAAATTCTGGTATTTAAAAGTTCATCAGTTCAACAACTTCCGGTCAAGATGGCGGCTTAGGTAAACGTGGTATCGTGTCCTCCCACAAACACATAAAAGTTACAATTAAACTACAGAACAACCATCATTCAAAACCACCTGACATTGAGCTGATTGGAAGTCCTACAACTACGGAATTAAAGAAGCAGCCACAATGAGACTGGTAGGAGGGGCGGAGGTGGAGGGGCTGGTCCCACACCCACGTGTAGTGGATAAAAATCAGGACACCTCGGCTGGGACAGTCCTCCCTGAGGACTGAGGGGACCTCGCCCCACACCAGGCACCCTGCTCAGGGTTCCAGTGCCAGGAAGAGAAGTCCCCATAACTTCTGGCTGGAAAAACCAACGGGAATTGAAGCTCAGGGAGGCTAAGGCAGCTGGAACCCCAGGCAACTCCTCTTAAAGGGCTCGAGCATGGACTTGTCAGACTCACTTCCTCTAAGCTTGAAGGGGATGCAGCTTGAGGGGCGCCAGAGACATACAGGGAAGAACTGAGATGTTTGGCATTGGAGTGAGGGCTGGAGAGGGGCTTTCTCTGGGACCAACATGCTGTCAGAGGCCTTTGTTCCTTTGGTGAGCCCTTCCTTGGGGTGGCAGACAGCCGCCATATCTGGGATTCCAGCAACCTGGCTCACACTGGTTGCCCCGCCCTGGTGATTCCCTGAGGCCCCGCCCTGCCCCACCCAACTTTCAGGCCCACCCAAGCTGTTGCCAGTTGCTTCACCATAGGATTGGCCTGTCTTGGATCCTGCTTCAGTTGTTCCTAAATTCTTTCAAACAAACAGCATCTGGTCTCAGATAGCCGCATACCTCTTGTTAAGTAATACACAGAAACAAACACAGGGAGGCAGCCAAAATGAGGAGACAAAGAAACCGGTCCCAAATGAAAGAACAGAACAAAACCCCAGGAAAAGAACTAAGCGAAATGGAGATAAACAACCTAACTGATGCTGAGTTCAAAATACTGCTTATAAAGATGCTCAGTGGACTTTGTGAGAACCTCAGTGAACTTAGTGAGGGCCTCAAGAGCATAAAAAAGGACCAGTCAGAAATGAAGGAGGCATTAACTGAAATAGAGAATAATTTACACAGATTCAATAGTAGAGTACATAAAGACAAGAAGCAAACCATCAATTTGGAATCTAAGGAAGCAAAAAACACCCAATCAGAACAGCAAAAAGAAAAAAGAATCTAAAAAACTGAGGATAGTGTAAGGAGCCTCTGGGACAACTTCAAGCATGCCAACATTCCCATCTTGGGGGTGCCAGAAGGAGAAGACAGAGAACAAAAAATAGAAAACCTATTGGAACCAACAATGGCAGAAAACTTCCCTAACTTGGTGAAGGAAACAGACATACAAGTTTAGGAAGCACAGAGAGTCCCAAACAAGATGAAGCCCAACAGGCCCACACCAAGACACATCATCATCAAAATGCAAAAGGTTCAAGAGAAAGAGAATCTTAAAAGCAGCAAGAGAAAAGCAGTTAGTTACCTATAAGGGAGTTCCCATAAGACTGTCTGCTGATTTCTTAAAAGTAACCTTGCAGGCCAGAAGGGAGTGGCAAGAAATATTCAGAGTGATGAAAAGCAAGAACCTACAACCAAGATTACTCTATCCTGCAAAGCTGTCATTTAGAATCTATGGCCATATAAAGACTTTCCCAGACAAGAAAAAATTAAAGGAGTTCATCACCACTAAACTGTTATTATATGAAATGATGAAGGATCTTTTTGAAGAAAAAGATAAAATATATGAATAAACAAAATGGCAATGAATACATATCTATTGACAATGGAATCTGCAAACAAAATGAACAGGCAGAACAGAAACATTCTCATAGATACAGAGAACATTTTGTTGGTTGCCAGATGGGAAGAGGCTTGGGGGAATGGGGGAATAAGGTGAAGGGATTAAGAAGTACAAATTGGTTGCTAGTCTGATAAACCTCAATGGGAAGGGGGTTGGGGGTGGGAAGGAATAAACCAAGGAACTTATATGCATAACCAATGAACACAGACAACAGTGTGGGAAATGGCGGGAGGGAGGAGAAGGGCGTCAATGGGGGAAAAATGAGGAACATCTGTAATACATTCAACAATAAAGATTTTTACAAAAGAAAAAAAAAAGTTCAGTTCATTAAGAGTTATACTTCTGCCCAGCTGGTGTGGCTCAGTGGTTGAGCTTCGACCCATGCACCAAGAGGTTGCTAGTTCGATTCTTGGTCAGGACACATGCCCAGGTTGTGGGCCAGATTTTTAGTGGGGAACGTGTAGGAGGTGGCCAGTCGATGTTTTCTCTCATCAATGTTTCTATCTCTCTCTCTCCCTTTCTCTCTCTCTAAGAAATCAATTTTAAAAAAAAGTTACACTTCTTCCCTAGGTGTAGCTCCCCAATCCAGAGCACCAGAGCCCATGTAACATCTAGCCGTGAAAGGTGGCAGGTCTTCGGGCCAGCAAGGAGACCAGAGATCTTCAGAGATAAAGTCACAAGTTTTTCCCTTTTTTTTTTTTTCCTTTTTTAAAGCCCAGAGCACAGGATTTTCATTTGTAGCTATATACCTGAGGCTTCAGTGGAGGGAGGGTGGTGTGGACTAAAGGTGCCTGAGGAGAGGCCGGTGGGGTGGGGTTGGGAAGCATTGCAGGGGAGACGTGGAAAATCTGTGCTGGGTGATCTAAATTTGGTTGTATCTCCCCCAAACTGAAGCAGCCATTTTTTCCTGAGAGGTGCAGGCCCCTCTCAGAAGCCACAGCTCAAGAAAAGGGAAATACCCCACCCTAGGAACTACAGCTCTCTTCACACTCAGGAACCCTGCCTGCCACATCTTGCATCTCGACCCCTGCAGAGGAGAGAGCAACAGGGGCCTAAGGTTTTGAACAGTCTCCGGGAGCACCAGCGACTGGTTTGGGGGTAGAGCCGTCTGCTCCACTGCCCTGGAACCTGACTGGTGCTTTCCCCTCAGGGGAGAGCTAATAGAAACTCCCATTTTCCAGCAGATCCCACTGCACTGCATATGATCTCTACCAAGCCTAGGGCAGAGAAATGTTTTGGGACACTCTCAGACCTGTATCTCTTGGATAGAGAAACAGACCCACCACATTCCCTGAAATCTGACCAGCAACTCCCCCTCAGAGGAGACCCAGAGGTCTTATACTCCTGATTCCACCAAAAGGCCTTTCAGAAACAGATTTTTTAGTGATTAAGGTTGACAGCTTATTGGCAAGTGAAGGCAGATGGAGGCAAAGCCTGGGAAACCTGGGGAAGTTTGCTGACCCATCCCTGGGCCCCATGGGACTGACAAACCAGCCTTAGAGTGCAGCTCAGCCCCTCCCTTGGGCAGCCAAGTTCTGTGGAGACAGACACAAACTGGGTAGCTTGAAGCCTCAAAGAGGTTGCTAAGAGCCAAATGAGGACAGTTTCTGACTGTGGCTAGCACCAAAGCACCTCAAGGGAGACCTAGATTGGCAGACAGTCAGACTCAGTCATCAGAAAAGCAAGATGCAAAGGGAGCTCCTAGGAGGCACTAAAACTCTGCTCAGACAAACGCTTCTTTCTCTATTTTTATTTTTGCATCATGTTCTTTATCTTTCTTCTTGATTGGTTTGATATTATTTTAGCCTCTCTGTTTTCTTTCATAACTCTAATTTTATTTTACCTTTTCTTACTCTGTATTTTTTCTCCTGCTTAATCTTCTTTTTTCCTTTTCTTAGTTTTTGCTTTTCTGCTTTCTCCTATTTTCCTTTTCATACTTTTTTTTTTACTTCTTTCTTTTATACTATTTTCCTTCTCCTATTTTCTGTTCTTATTTTATTTCACCTCAGCCCTGTTATATTACTTTTTCTTCCCCTTTTTATTCTTATTTTTTTCCTTCTATTATTCTTGTTTTCTTTTGTCTTTACTAATTCTCTCTTTTTTGTGTGATTGTTTTTGTTGTTTTAGGGGTCTTTTGTATGTTTTTGTTTTATTGTGTTGTTTTAATTTTGTTCTGTCAGCAGCTGCAGAACAGCTCAC